GTAGGCTATGCTGGCTGCTTTGTGTTCTACCCACACGTACATAAAAACTGGTGCAGAATGTTTGTATAGATCAGGAGTTGGCAATCTTTTTCTTTTTTACTTTTCTCTTTATTATTTTTATTAAATATAAAGAGACGAGGTCTCATTATATTGCCCAGGCTGCTCTCAAACTCCTGAGCTCAAGCAATCCTCCCACCTCAGCCTCCCAAAGTGCTGGGATTACAGGCGTGAGTCACCGCACCCAGTATTAGCAATCTTTTTCTATAAAGGGCCAGATACTATTTTGAGCTCTGTGGGCCATAAAGCCTCTGTAGCAATTACTGTAACTCTGCAGCCATTATAGAATAGCAGCCACAGACAATTTGTAAATGAATGGATGTGGCTTTATTCCAATTAAACTTTATTGACAAAAACAGGCAGAAGGCAGGGCCTGTCCCATGGGTTGTTGTGTGCTGACCCATGGGATAAGGCAGTGGTCCTCAACCTTTTTGGCACCAGAGACCAGTTTTGTGGAAGGCAATTTTTCCATGGACAGTGAGAAGGGGGGATGGTTTCGGGATGAAACCATTCTATCTCAGATCATCAGGCATTACATTCTCATAAAGAGTGTGCAACCTAGGTCCGTTGCATGCACAGTTCACAATAGGGTTTCTGCTCCTATGAGAATCTAATGCCCCAGGTGATCTGACAGGAGGCCAGGCTTAGGCGTGAATACTCGCTTGCACTCTGTTCACCTCCTGCTGTGCAGCTGGGTTCCTAAAAAGCCACAGATTCCCACTGGTCTGATGCGCAGGGGTTGGGGATCCCCGGTATAAGATAGACTTTTGGATAAGTTTATGTCAATATGCCTTGAAATGCAGGCAGTTGGCTAGTTTGTCAAACCTATAACATTGAATGATAATATGGGTAGTATTTTATATGAACCTTTGACATATATGTTTGCTTATCATTTAGAATAATGTTTTACCCGTGCTGTAGTTTATTGGAATTATCTTCCAAAAGGTGGGTATTCCCTGGTTGTCCAAATAAATCCTGAAGTGCACATGAGTCATACCCAAAGGCAGTCTGTTTTCTGTAATGATCTTTATAGCAAGCTAAACTCCTATTTTACAAGTGAAGAGATTAAAATATAGGGGCCTTAAAAATTCCTCAGCTGGATAATTATCCTTGAATATGGAAAGATGTTTAAACTTTTACCACCAGCTTTTAAACCATTTTTTGCCACCCCCAGGTAAGGCAGTGATAGTGACTTCTGGAGAAGAACAAATTAGAGCTGGTTTTTAGGGGAACAAAGAAGCAGATTGAGGTCCATAATTCTAAGATAAAATCTGGGCATTGTTCTGATTCAATAAAGCAGAAATACCATTCCCATGCATTATTGCCACAATGTAGAGAAAAACAAAACTTTGGGGCCAGCTAACCCTGAGTTAAAATCTTGGCTTTACCATTTATTGTTTGGATAGCTTTGGACTAAGTGACTTAATGTCTTAGGGCCAAATTATTTAACATATCAAATAGTATTTTTGTAAAGATAAATGATAATAAAAATTAATATATATTACATAAGTAATTTACTATATGAATAAAACTATGCTTGGTTCACAGTTGGTACTTACAAATTTTGCCTCTCTTTGCCACCTCAGGTTCTTGTTTACATGGTACAAACATTATAAACCATCCCCTTTCTTCTTTATCCTATCAATGCATGAAGCCTGTCTACAACCTTGAGTTTCTGATCACAACACAGAATTTGGGGTCAAAAGATTAAGATATGATTACGATTTTCTTACTCATCTACTTTGAGATTTTGGAACACATTTTGGAAGGTCATAGAGCCAGACAGTTAAAAGAGATTTTTATATTCTTTTTCAAATCTTAAAAAAGCTCAGGGCTTTTTCCATCTACAAAATGAAATAATTCATAGGACAAATAATGTACAGTACTTAATATTTAAAAATAACTTTGAACAACTTCAAAATATATAAATAAGAAAAAACACAATGTGTTTGGTTGCTAGGGGAAATTGATTCTGTAACTTCAGAGAGCAATAACTTAAAACATCTCAAGGTGCCTCAAGCAATTAGTTCTATGGCCCAGTTAGACTCATTGAGTTTTGGAGCCAACAGAGACCACAGAATGTTTGAATGCTTACAACCAGGGCCTGTCCTGCCCACCTACCCCTTTCCTCAACCCCATATGGGCTTGGAAATACTTGGAGAGAGAAAGCATTATTTGACCCATTTATTGAAGTTTAATTGACATGCAATAAAGTATGCAATTTATTAATTTTTCACATGTGTATAACACCTTTGAAACCATCACCACAATCAAGATACTAAATTTATCCATCACTTTGTAGGGGTTTTTTGATTGCTACAGCAACTAGGAGCTATTACTGGCTGGGTCTGAGGACCACAGATCTCCTGAAATGTACTGTCTTGCACAAAGAATTGTCTTATCCAACAAAGCCAATAGCATCTCCATTGAGAAACACTGGGCCAGATCTCTTGGCTAAATCCATGAAGACACTGAGTCCAGATGAGGAAATGGAGGCAAGACTAACGTAAGTTTCTTCTGTTTACTGTAAATCCATCTGAAGGGCCTGTGTTACTTAAACAAACAAGATAGCATCTGCTGAAAGAAATTCTTGGTCTGACTCAAATGTTGAGGCTGGCACTTGCCACAGAGGTGTGGGAGCCCGAGTCCAGGGGCATAGAGCCAAGCCGGGACAATAATTCATTTTCATTTAAAAAAAATAAGAAAACAAATGAATCAACTGTTAAATATTGTATTGCCATTTAAAGGCTGCAGATACTCTAAAGTGCTATATTTTAAATGTGGCAACAGATGCCTCTAAGTAAGGGAGAGTTAGCTAGCTACTCCTCTGCCAGTGACACACCTGCTGCTGCTACCTTGGATGACAGTCAGGGCCAAAGACACAAAGTGCTAAGAGATGTCATTTTGATATTTAAGATGCTCATTTAAAATAATTTTGAGTTTTATTAGTTGTAAGAGTCATGTAATAACTCCAAGAACAAAATTTGTTATCTACCAGAAAGATTCTCTCTCAAGTGGAAAGTCATGGACTAGGCCAGTAGTTCTCAAACATTTATGTGCTGAGAATCACCCTGAGGGCTTGTTAAAACAGATTCCTGGTTCCCACCCACAGGATTTCTAATTCAGTTGGTGTGGGTGGAGCCCAAGAATCTGCATGTCTAGTAAGGTCCAGGTGTGCCGCTGCTTAGGATCTGGGACCTCGCGCCTGGGCCACTCTTTCCCCAAGTGCCTGTCAATGGCTGACTGTGTTGACTGGACACTGGAAGTAGACCAGGTCAGTCAGCGACGAAGCAGGAAGACCTGGAACATCTTTATACACCCACCTTGAGCTGTAATGATCTCAGCACCCTCAACTCACTGTCCACACTCCCACAAAAGCCCTCCATTTCTCTTGTTCTTTGTAGCCAAAGAACAACAAAGTTGAAATGTCCGGGTAGAGCCCTTCAGAGACTATGAGAGCTCAAACAAACATCCTGCAAACACATTTACAAGCATTATGAGCCTAAAAAAATCATACCAAAAGACGAATATAATCTCATGATCCCCTGGCTTTCAAGAGAAAAACACGTAGTTAATATGTACTTTTTTGAGGGGGGAATGATAGACCGTTAAAAACAAACATGGAGGACATTTCCAATGATAGAAACAAGAGTAGGACCATGAGCAAGGATTCTACCTTGGGCCTTGGGGTTGTCCATTTGTCTGGAATCTGGTTCTCATGGCTGCTAGATGACCCTAGACAAGCAGACTTCAAAAGGCCAGTAGGCCAAGTTTACTCTGCAGCTAAGAGCATTTAAGGCAAAACTACATAGCTGACTTTTAAAATTTTATGAGCTCCACTCATTGGTGACTATGTAGGGGTTACCATGCATGTACATACAAGTTTTGTTTTTAGGCAGTTGACACCTGGACACAGAGATAAATGTGTAAATATAATTCCTCTAAAGATACGCATATATTTTTAATAAGGTGATGAGTACACTAGTGGTAAACAAAGTGTCACTTTAGCCATGTTTATCCAAGCCTTTAATAACATAGCTTATTTTAAAATGTTAAAATCAATTCTCACAGCTCCAAAGACAAAATAATTATCTCCAAGTCCCCAAATTAAATATCTTTATTTTTATTTTCCAGATCATTTGAAAAATTCTGTCACTTTTGGTGACACTTCTTATTTAATGATTAGTTCTTCTCTTCCTAAACGAAGGTAGTAATAGAATTTTTAATTAATTAGTTTTATTGTGATAAAATACACTCAACATAAAATTTACTATGTTATCCACTTTTAAGTGTACAGTTCTGTGGCGTTAGTATATTCACACTACCATCATCCATTTCCAGATGTATTTGTTTCTAAATAATTAATATTCTCACCTTAAAATGATAAAAGCTGGAGACAACATAACATGTATGAATAACTTTGGTATTTTTGCAAACAGCAGGATTCTCTATGTTTTCTGGAGGAAAGTTAAGTTAAAGTCATCATAAAAGAGAAGACATAAGACTAGACTCAGATTTGAGGCCCAATTGTGGGCCTACCAGCCCATGCTTTCAAATTAGGAACAGCAAAAACCTAGCACCAGTTGCTATTTCATGGAAGCCTTCTTTCTCTAAACCCTTGGCAGACATCACTCTGTGATTACTTCACTCTAACACTGTACCTCAAAATCTTTCTCCATATGGTCTTCCAGTCATTCATCACAACTAATTAGAATTGGTTCATAGATGAAACCTATTTAGCATCTCCACATAAAAATTGCAAGGAGGTATCCTGATGAAACAGGAAATAAACATCATTTGGACTGCCTTTCTCCCTGCCAAAGGCCCAATATTTGCATCTGTACATGTAAACATGTACATAAGTAGAAAAGCCCTTCAATATGGGGGTTGTCACAAAGAAGGTTCCTTGGCATGGAAATCATGACAAATAAAAATGTTCTTACCTGGGTAGGAACACACTTTCCACCACATAAAAGTCTTGCATAAGAACATCTCGCTCTGGCTTGGAAGTGAGATTACCCACTGTATATCCTATTCCCAGCTGAATAGCACCTTTAATAGCAGATGATGCAGTCTGCAAAGAAAACAAGGGTCTCAACATTAGCCTTAACAGTTAGGGCCTTGTTCAATGGCACAGGAAACAAAATAAGAGAGTGAGGTTCAATTCTCTTTCTCATTCAGAAACAATGACGAGACTGAGGTTTGACAAGATAATTTGCTTCTTTTGTTGCAGAATCTATTCTAAATATTAAGCCTCTTTTCATAAACTTTTTTGTGATCGTCTTCCTTATAAATGCTTAACGGTCAAACTATAATCCAATTATCTATCTTCCTTTTACTAAGAACTCAGAAACTTGAAGAACAATAAATAGCATTATAATTCCTATCTAAAGACAAATGGCACATTCACATTTTAAAAAATAAGAACTTTCATAACATATTTATAAATTTGTAAGAGTATTTTGTCTTCATAAGCAATGAGAGAGTAAAAAATAATTTGAATCTTTGGAGTATACAAACAATTTAATTTGGAAATTGCTTACTAGTCTCACCATGGATCCATAATAATTTCTTACATTAATCTGTGCTAAAACATACAGCAGTGGGGATACCAATATTTCCAATTTACCACTTTTCTAATATCATCCCATAATTAAGCTGATGTAATGTTAACTTGGAGAATAACTACAGTATATATGTGTATATGTATGTGTGTGTGTGTTTGTATATAAGGATACACATGCATAGTTTTAACCAAGATAATAGGAGAAATAACAGAATAATTCAATTTAGGACAATTAGAATGTACTTTTTTATGGTGAAGTGTGTCATACTTTTCACGCCTTGCACTGCCTAATGTAGTGCCACATACATGGTAGGAATTAAATACTTAAATCAGTGGTTCTTCAACAGGGACATCTGACGATATCTGAAGACATTTTTTGGTAATGACAACTGGTGATGGTGGCATTACGTCTAGTGGGTAGAGGCCAGGGATGCTGCATAGGAAAGCTCCCACCACAAAGAGTCATCCAGACCAAAATGTCAATAATGCAGAGGTTAAGCAACCCTGACTTGAAAAAAATGTAATAAAGATCATTTACTTTATAGGAAAGGTACTTTTTCATTTAATATTTTTACTTAGCAAATCTAAGACCCATCCTTACCTGTCCACATGGTTTATATCTTTTCATTTCTTCATGCTTTAAACACCAGAGAACACCTGTCTATTCTTGAAAAAATTTCTTCTCTTGATTTCTATGATAGAATATTGTCCTGGAGCTACTTCTATTTTTTTTTTTTTTTTTTTTTTTTTTTTTTTTTTTTTTTTTT